TTAGAAACAACTGGATGTCAACTACAACATACATCCATATCAACTGGTCATGAGTACATGTTGGAAGTACTAAATGGTCATACTGACCGGATCTTTGACAAGTGCCACATGGACAAAGTATGTTTTACATACTTATGTGACATTTTGGCACAGCAAGACAAATTGTGACCAACTAGGAAGACGAGTTTGGAAGAACAGTTATGATATTTCTAACAATTGTTGGTAAAACGAGACAATCAGAACGATGATGGAGGATTTCCAACATTCGGGTGAGACGATCTCTAGATATGTTGGCACAGTTTGCGAGGCGATATGTGAGTTGAAGACAAAGTTTATCAGACTACCCGACTTCAGTGATGTTCCATGGGAAATATCAGCCAACCGAAAATATTACCCTTTCTTTAAGGTACTAGTTCATTATGTTTTCTATTAGTGGATAGTTAAGTTCATTGTGTTATTAATGTTGATAGTCGGTTGATATGAGTAAAATTCAATTTTGATGATAGGACTGTATTGGAGCCATTAATGGCACACATGTATACGCTTTAGTCCACATGAATTTGGTGATAGGTACCGGAATCGCAAAGGAACGTTATCACAGATTGTAATGGCTGTATGCGACTTTAGGATGATGTTCACTTATGTCGCTACTACATGGGAAAGATCTGCACATGATTCAAGAGTTTTAAATTCAATTCTTGATGATCCTAATTCTGGATTCCCACATCCTCCACTAGGTATAAGTATTTTCGTGACATATTAGAGCGTATTTGCTCCACTGTTGAGGCCTTGTAATTCAAATAACATGTCTGATTTTATTACAAGGAAATACTATTTAATTGATGCGGGTTATCCAAATAGAGAGGGGTTCCTCGCCCCTCATAGGCGAGTGGCTTACCATATTTCTGATCACTGATGTAACCCAAGGGGGCCACAAGAGTTGTTTAACTACAGACATGCTTCACTCCGCAATGTTGTCGACAGAACCTTTAGTGTTTTGAAAAGACGGTTCCGTATTCTAAATGGAATGAACAATTACCCGTTGGACAAACAAGGGAAGATTGTTATGGTATGTGTGTATTTCATAATTTTATCAGAATATACAATATGGATGACCCTATCTTCGAACAGTATACTGAAAATACAGGTAATGGGCAAGTATATTGTGATTGTCAAAACGAGGCTGAAGATGGCCAAAATGGAGAAGGACTGAGTCAACCGCAGCAAAGTATTATAGATAACATGACGACTATACGAGATAACATAACGAATGCACTGTGGGCAACACATATGACCATGTCGTAGTTGTTAATGGAGCATATGTGTAAGAACGATTGTAAGGTTTAATAATTAGTACTTTTGTCATATATATTAATGTGATGTTTTTAAACATTTTGATTAGTACTTGAAATTAATATGGGTTTTTGTTTTTTAATATTTACTGGTTACAAAATTACCAATAAAATATTTAATATTATTAAAACGTAAATTGATAAGTTTTAAGGTTATAATAATACATTATTTTTACAAAATACACCAAAATATTATATTAATAAATCATTTATAAAAAAATACATCAATCAAATATTCAACACAAATAACAAGATCAAAATATTTTATCAAACATATATTTTTTAAATCATATTCTTATAATAATAACCCTTCTTAATTATCCAATATTATTCCTAAAATTTTATCAAGATAATAAAACAGATGGACTTACATACCAGCTGTGGAACTTGTCATATCGCTCATCTTGATGAGAACATGTCGTTAAGTCTACGTGTTTTTATGTTTTGGTTAGATTCTCACTGTGTCTCTGTCAGCATTTAAGAAGATTTTTAATTGTATTAATTTTTTGGGCCCTACATCTGCAGGTGGAAGCTTTTATTTGTCCTCCAGTAATAATAAAATGAAGGCTCGTCACATAATTTCTCCAGCATTTTCTTCCAGTATAGAAAGTGAAGAAATCGATTTACAACGAAGCTCCCAGATCTCGACGGCTAGAAGAGGCTATCATTCTCAAACAACTAAACAAGTAAGTGACTGATACTTTCCACACGATATGTTAAATATTTTATTGTAGTTATATCATAAACTTAGGGCATGTTTGATTTGTGGATTAGAAATTGATAGAATGAAAGTACTATGAATAAGTAAAATGAGATTACTTTCTTTGTTTATATTGAAGAATTTTGGTGAAAACGAAAATAATTTGTTGCTTTTAGACAAAAATGTCTTTCATTTAATTTATGTAATAAATATAAATTTATTTTTTGTTTAAATATAAAATTTCAAAATTCAAAAAACTAAAAACTAAAAAAAAAAAAAATTTCAAACCAGTCAACACCGGTCAAAGTCACCAGCCCGCCAGTTTCCATCTCACTGTTGGTGTCACCGCCAATGTGTGAATGATCAGAGACAACCGATCTGTCGATTTGAGCGAATTCTACTGTCGAAGACTGGTAACGTGAGGTCACATGCAATTGTCGTGATGGAGAACTATCGAACATGATGTCACTATGCTAGTCTTTGGTGGTCAAGATCTGCCTAGATTGCAGATCTCTGGCCTCTGATCCGTGATGTGCCGACAATGACACCGACAACCTGATAGACACATCTTTTATTAGATTACTAATTTAATTATGATTATGCATATATAATTATTTTACAATTTTCATTTGCTTTTAGGTTTTTTTGAGGTTTTGTATAAGCTGCTTTTGGTTTTAAATGGAGAAAATAAAAATAAGGGCACGTGTTGTGAAAACAATTAAAACGGGACACTAGTTCAAAAAGATAAAAATATGACACTTAACGGTTTACGACCGTTTAATATAACTTCAAAAATAGTATGCATGAAAATCTATTCGATTATATAATATAAAAAGGCAAAAGATATATTAAAAAAATATTAATAACCATTAAGAGATAAGCATGTGTTAAAAGCCCCAACACATAAGAAAAAAAAAAAAAAAAAAAAAAAAAAAACTCATCAAAAGATAAAAAAAAGTAAGTCTAACATTTATATTTGCCAATTTTTTCCATGTTGTTTGGCTCAAAAAATGAGGTGGTTTTTTTTTTTTTTTTTTTTTTTTTTTTTTTTTTTTTAATAATAGACATGATAGTCGATTTAAAATATGAAAAAAAAAAAAATGATTTATTTAGGCTCACTCCTACATGTAAAGAAACATGTCAAATTCTATGTTAAAAAGTTCAGTAATTTTCATCAAAACTAACACTTATCTGTGTATTACATTGCACAATCGATAAAATAATTAAATATAAAATCTCAAAATTTTATAAAGAAATTACATTTCATGATAAATTTTTTTAAATAAAAAATTGGGAAGCCATTAGACATGCTAAAATACAACATAATTTGCAAATCAATGCAAAATCAATTATTAATAGTTTTTAATTTTAATTTTTAGAATTTTATTAATTAAAAAGGTATTGTTATTTTATATATTGAAGCATATTAAAATGGTCAATATCTTAAAATATAATCATGAGGGTAATAAACTTTTCATATTATAATCACTTTTTTATTAATAACACGGTCTTATATTTATATTTAAGTGTCATTTTTTTTTGTCTTTTTGAAAACTTATGTCCCTTTAATTACTTTTATAAACATGTGTCCTCATTTTTGTTCTCCCAGTTTTAAAAATTGCTAAACCTATTCTTGAAATCCTTTATAATCATTATTTTTATTGATATTGTTTATAAGTATCGCATTAAGCTAACATTAGGGTATTTACAACAATTTGTTTTAATTTAGCAATTGATTGTCAATTGTCTTAAAAAAAAAAAAAAAAAAAAAATTGTATCCTTCCTGAGTGTGTTTCTTTTCAGGTATTTTGTTTTGTTTGTAGTTTTTAGTTTACATTTGGCCACTTGTGCCACAATTTATTACCTAGCTTCACCCTATGATCATTGAATAGTTTTGTGATGGTAATCTGTATGAGAAATGTGCTAAATTTAATTAAAGAAAAGTTCAAAATATAGTAAGAAAAGCCAACTCTTTGCAGCACCACAAGAATATCAATATTTAAAAAATATAGTACAATAAGCTCATTAACAATGTAATAAAAAATAATATACTCCAAATTTTATAATGTAAGGTGTGAAAACTAAAATTCATATAAGAGATAACACTTATTATGATTCTTTTAGAATTCTTTATTTTTTTTTTATAGTTGCAATTAAGATATCAATTAATTAAGAGAAAAGTGAATAATAGCAGTGGGTAAGTTAATTACATTTAATTGTATTTTTTGTCAAATTCAAATTCGTAAAGTTAAAAAATTCCAAAATAAATAATCATTTAATACAACAGATAAAAAATAAATTAAAATAAACTCACATAATATAAATATAATCAAGATTTTTGAGATAATTAATTCTTGAAATTAAAAAAACTGAAAAACTAATAGAATTAAGTGAATAAGGAGGCACAATTATAAAGAGTTTAAAATATAAGGGATAAAATGAGTCTTAAAATTTTAAGGGGGATCGTGCCGCGCTTTCGGATATCGTATGTTTGCCGTACACTTAATGAATGTTATATTTAATCAGAATAAATTATTTTCCGATATCGGACATTTTCGGCCTTCAAATTTTGGAAAACCACTTTAATCCCTTTCTTACGTAGAGTATAATACAAAGTAGTACCAAACTTATGAGCTGAGTAAATAACCCTCCACTATACAAACGGCACCAATTTACTAATTTATTTATTTAACTTATATTTTATTTATGTTTTGAATTTATTTTCATTTAGTTCAACCACTTAATATCCGGGATTTCTCACATACACACATATATATACACAAATTCGATTCATAGTTGTTAGGATTTTTCATTTGCTATTTTAACATAATAACTTTGCTATTTATGATAATTCCAATATAATGCTGGCGATAGGATAAGAGAAGGCCATGGCTAATGGAACAAGTGATGGTTTATCGATTTGTATTGACGATATTGTTGAACGGCTAAAAGGTCTAACTTCAACATCCACTGCTCGCAGTATATTTAAAGTACCTGACCATCTACGCTCCGTGAATCCGAGTGCTTATGATCCATTCATAATTGCAATTGGCCCTTATCACCGAAAGAATAAAGACTTTTCGATGATGGAAGACCACAAAATGCGGTTTATGAAACACTTTCTCAAACGAAGAAGTGAACGGGAAGAAGATGTGAAAAAGTATGTCGAAGCCTTGAGGGCTCTGGAAAAGGAAGCTCGTGATCATTATGCAGATGGTGATGATGAAGGTATAACATCTGATGAATTTCTGACAATGATGTTGCTTGATGGTTGCTTCATCCTTGAGCTGCTTCACAGGTTTATGGAAAAGCTGAGGCCACGGACAGACAGTAATGATAACCAAGAAAGAGGCACTTTATTTTCGGGTTTGATCATCAAGAGATTGGGCCGTGATTTGTTATTAGTTGAAAATCAACTCCCCTTCTGTGTTCTTCAAAAGTTGTTTAGCATAACTGCTAGAGAAGGGAACTATAGTCTCGAGGATATGATTTTGTGTTTCTTCTCTTATTCTGTGTTTCCCGATCCACGGCTCTCGAAAAGTTATTCTGAAATCGCCAGGACAGATTCATCAGAAAGCAAGCATCTATTAAGCTTTATACGTGATCAATGGCTTCTATGTCCTCGGAAAGTTAGTGGAGGGAATGATAGCGCAAAAGAAATTTGGGGTCCATAAATTGTGGCACTTGGCGGATCAAACCTCCACCATCTCAAAACAATGGGAAGTTCAACAGCAACCGCAATACAAAAAATATGAAGTTCATGCGTTGCGCCACAGAGCTTAAGGAGGCAGGAATCAAGTTTAGAAAAGGTAAGGAAGATAGCTTGTTTGCTATTAAGTTTAAAAATGGAGTAATGGAAATCCCACGATTAGAAATTAGAGGAGAAACCGAGTCTATCTTCCGAAATCTCATTGTCTATGAGAATTACTCTACAAATGAAAATGAGATTAATACTAATAGTAACATGTCATCAGTGATTATATGAAATCATGACTGTCTCATCGACTCTCAATGATGTGGAATTACTTTGTCGTGCAATATTCTCCATATTGTTTGGTGATGATAAAACAGTTGCCAACATGTTCAATAGTATTGGTGTTGTCACGCTTTCCCCCGACAATTATTTCTTCGATATATTCATCAAGTGAACGAGCATTGTGGCCAAAAGCGTCACAATGATAGCACACTTAAAGCACAGGTATTTTTACAGTCCATGGGCTTTCATTTCCTTCTTTGCTGCTGTTTTGTTGCTTCTGTTTACCTTGACTCAAACTGTGTATTCTGTTCTCACTTATCACTATAAGTAATGCTATGTACTAACTAAATTGTAATAATCTAAGTATACAATTAAAATTTAAATTTTTTTTTTTTTTTTTTTTGTTTTTAGGGAATTGACGTGCCAATAAATAAGTCTGTCACGTTAGTTAGTACTTAGGTTGTATGGTTTTGGTTAGTGCATATAGCATTATTCTACTATAAATAAATGGCGAGTCCTCCAAATATTGAGGTCCCCTAAGCAACGGTAGTGTTAGTGTTAGCTTTAAGAATCAATCGTGTTGTCGGTTCTAGAACATTTAATCTTGTAAGTATTTTATTTATTAAAAAAGAGTTTTGATTTCACATATTGTTTACTGCTTCATTTATATTATTTATAATGCATTAAAATATTTGGATGATACGGATCTTTAATCACATCAAAGTACTCTTACATAGTAATGTTAACTGGGCAACACATTGTATAGTAGCATGCTGAGTGCATCCATTGACTATCATGTGATGATATTAGTATGGGTGATTACGAAATTCATATCATTAGAGCAGTAGGAAAGATACTTTTCCATATAAAATGAAGTAACGAAAATCTCAGAAACCGAGTCTATCTTTCGAAATCTCATTGTCTGACATTACTCTACATAAAATATACTAATTTAGAAAGACATAGGGGTGAGCACGGTAGCGTAAAACCGGAACCGGAATACCCGAACCGACACTGTATGGGCAGAGTGGTCAGCCCTTTGAGCCTACCCTCATATTTGAAAAAAAAATATTATATACAGGCCATAAAAAATTGTTAATTAACATATGTACCCAGACGCACCTTCAAGTTTTAAAAAAATAATATTATAACATCCTGTATATCTAGTCTACAAAAAAACTTGTCATTATATATATAATATAACACACTGGAGAAAGTTTTAAACTTTTTAATATATATATATATATATATATATATATTTATATATAAAATAATATATTATATATATATATATATATTATTCCAAGTCCCTCATATTATATATATATAATATTTCCAAGTCCACATCTATTATTAAAGTTTAAAACTTCTCAGTGTTTTTTCTACCCAGCTTTACCTGTTTTTTTATGATTTTATCCACAAATTCTTTACCCTCTCTTTCTATTCTCATGTTTCTCTCTTAAAATTTTTAAGACTGAAATTGTTAAATTTTCACTACCAAGGTGTCATAATTAGTTCCGTTTTCTGTTTTATAAGATTTTAGGTATGTGTATTGTTCATTTCAATTTGTTTATTTAAGGATTGAATCATTTTTTTTTTTTTTTTTTTTTGAGGTCCTTTATTCTAATTTGAGAGAAAAATATATAATCTTGTAAGTTTATTTTGTATTTTCGTCATAAGAATCCTGCTTTCTCAAATTAAAACCTTAACTATTTTTAAGGGACGTTATTCTTCATCCTTCACCCACCACTTTCCTATATTTTAAACGTCACCGTTCAGTTGTCAAAATTATTAAAGAAACTGAGTTACTATCTATGTTATACTAAAAAATTTCTCCTCTTTTATTAATTCATATTAAAAGTCAACGTAACGTTGACTTTTTTTAGTTTTATTGACTTTAGCTTAATTAGGCTAGGTTTACCTACGCTATGAAAATTTATATTATTATATTTGAAAGCCAAAAATAAAAATATTAAAAGAAGTTTTTTTCAAGATTTACTCAAAACTTTTACTCAAAATTGCTTCTCATAAATTTATTTAAGTAAGAAAATATGTGTTAATATTATTCTTTTTTTCCCATTCTTAATATTATATTATTTTTTTTAATAAATTTGGTGATTTTTAAGTTTTCACTAATTATTTGAAAATAATGGCCGAGGCCGCGAGGCCCCCTCAATGAAAATCCTAGATCCGCCATTGTGTGCGGTAGGTTCCAATTCTATTTTATTGGAACCGATACTGTGCGTTTCCGGTTCTTATGAGTGGATGAACCAAACCTGAAAAAAGAACCTGAAACAGGTATCCGATTTGAAGCCTGTTTAGAACCTGTAGCGGGTATCCTTTTAGAACCTGTTTGAACCTATTTGGAACCTGGGTTGGCAATGAAATATTTGTGAATATGGGGGGTTTCATTATTTTACATATAAAAATTAAAATAGAAAAAGTTAAATTTTTAGATAACCTAATTAAATAAATATACAATTATGCTTATTACATAAAACTATACCATATTAAAAACTTTAATATATTATAATATTAATATTAATTTTGATTAATTAAGTTTATAATTGGAATAGGATCCATTAAAGAATTATTTTGAATAAATATTTTATTTATATTAATAATATATATTTAGTTATTTACTTCAATTATAAATTCTAAGTACAATCTATCTATAATAAATTAGCAATTAATTAATTATATATGATAAATTGATAAACATTAATAAATTTAATTACTAGTTAAATATTATACTTAATCAATTATAACATTACATTATAGTTAAATGACTACTTAATTAATTATAATTTTATAACATTACTTAATTGATTTATAGTATAATTAATTATAAGATTATATTAATTGATTACTACTTAATTAATTGACTTATAACATTTAGTATATTACTTAATTAAATAATTAGAAATTTAATTAATTATAGCATTACATTATAGTCTATAGATTTATAGTATAATTACTTAATCAATTATAACATTTCATTATAAACATTAGTACAATACTTAATTAAATGATTAAAAATTTAATTAATTATAATATTACATTAAATATTTATAGTATAATTACTTAATTCACTATAACATTACATTATAGTATGATCACATAATTAATTATAATATTACATAATTAAATGTTTACTTAATTAATTATGACATTATATTATAAACATTAGTAATTACTAATTTACTACATAAACATTAGCACAATATTTAATTAAATGATTAGAAATTTAATTAATTACAAAAATACATTATAACTTTATAGTATGATTATTTAATTAATTGTAACATTACATTATAATTAAATGGTTATTTAAATAATTATAATATTCTATTATAAACAAATTAATTATAATATTATATTAAAGATTTATAGTATGATAATATGATTACTTAATTCATTATAGCATTAGACATGAGTCATTTTATGCTTTTTGGGTTGTTTTGTAGTTTTATAATTGTAGTGATTGAAATTAGTAGGAGAATCAAAGAAGTTGGTGACAGTTTCTAACTTTCTATATTGTTGTTTATTTGAATGATTTTGGTGAAGTTATTTGTTGTGAATTGTGATGAATAATTGTTTGTGTTTTGGATTTGATTGAGGAATTTTATGTGAATTGTGTTGAATTAATTGAATTCAAGTGTTGCCTAGAGATTAGAGGTTATGAGTTACATTGGACACAAATAAATGAGTAATCAAAATTTGTTAGGGGTGTATTTATAAATTTTTAAGGTATTTTTGTTATTTTTAAACTAATAGGGGGTAATTAATTTTTTACAGGATATCCGAGAAAGGAACCGAAACGTATATTTTAGATTTCGGTTCTTTGAATTTAAAAACCTGCACTGTACGATTCTGATTCTAATTTCTTTTTTTTGGAACCTCTACTTATAGTTCTGGTTTTAGTTCTCCTAAAAAAATATAGGATATTCGAAACTACTCACTCTTAATAATAAATAACGATGTCATAATTAATGTCAGGCCTGTACTTGTATCATAAGAGTTTTAGTGGGATCTTTGAGGATGATTTTTTTTTATTATTTTGTCAGAAAACTTCAACCAAGCAATCACCAAGCTTAAATTCTAGAGCCCTCTTGTTTTACACGTATTTGTTTGAATTTTCTCAACATGTATTTAATGTTCGAAGTAGAGGAGCGGTAGACATATTCTTCTTTTATACATTTTTGTTAACTCTTTCACTTATCATATAACACGTATACAAGAGGCAAAAGAAAAGAAGTAATAAATGCTTCTTCTTTTTTCCTTTTCTTTTTGTCTTTGGTCTCATGGTCTGTATTGGGATTTATCTCTCCAGATTTTTCTGTGTAGTGCTAAGTGACTTGACACGTAACACAAATCCATGCTTCATGATTTAATCTAACTTTCTTTCAACAATAAGGAAAGAGAAATTTTTGTATAAGAGGCAGAGTATTGCTAATAAGAAAAGTAGACTGATTTTCTCTCCCATTTTTTCTCATTTTCTAATCTGTCAAACACGCTCTAACTTTCTTTCTTTTTGACAAATATCTCCCATGAACATCTAGTCATCTTCAATTAGGCTATTGAAGAGAGGTATGAGATCTTTTATTCTAAATTATCCAATGTAACTAAGCATGTGAAAATATTACAGGAAACTTCAATTAGGAGTAAAGTTACACAAA